GTGTGCAAACTAGAATCTCGCGAGTGTTTAAACTGAAAATATACAATTGGAGCATTTAATTTTAAAGCCACACTATTAATAATTGAGGTTAGTCTGTCCGTCCGCAAGTGACAACAGCGACCACAATTAGGTGTTCTTTGCAACATAAACATACACACAGTGTCACACAGTACTCGTTGGTTTGCTGCACATTTTTTAAAGTCTCGGTTCAAATTACGTCCGCGCACGGCAACCAAAAATAAGTGCACCTTGCAACCACTCGTATATACACACTCACGTCAGTGATCCGCATCACTTAATATTGTTAATGAAGTATTTAGATTTTGTTTAAATTGACAGTCCATAATCATAACCTTCATTTTTCTGATCGTTTTTTCACTGCGCCTCTTAGTTGGCTTACATTCTTTTGCATATTTGCGAACACTGTCACTGTTTCGAGGATACATAACCTCTAAATTTTGTTATTTGCATTGGACCAATTGTAGATTTTCACTAAATCACTACGCATAAGCGATTCAACTCATACATTGCACATTTTTTACCATATATATTTGCTACGTACGTTGCACTCATCGAAGTGGTCACTCTGTTTATTAAAATTTGCTGCGTACGTTGCACACATCACGATTTTACCACGTATATTATTTACACCTTATTGCGTACCTTGCATAGCTTATCAAAGCGCGTAGATATTAGTCAGCCCAGTTGGGTGGCGAGTCGTTAGTAAACAATAATTCTAGAAGAAAAAGGTTTACATTTTAATAAAGTGTCGAATATATTTCGCAATACAAACTATTTTGCATCTTTTTAATTCGTTGGATTTCGGGTATACATTTAAGTGGCAAGTTCCGGTGGATAAAAAATTGGCAACTTCTCTTGCGCATACAACCTCTAATCTTCGATAAGATTAAGTGTGTAAAATCCTATAGATTCTATCTGGGCATTACAGTTAATACTTCGGTCAGGGTAAACACGTTAAACAATGGATTCGTATATTCTTTTGGCAGAAGCTGTAACAGAGTTTGAATCTGATTACAACGGCATACCCGCCGCAGAACAAAACAAACATGGTCTTGCTATTCAACAAGACGAGTTAAAAGCTTTGTGGGAAAAAACAAAGTTAGCTTACGATAAGCTTATCAATGAGGGATTGTCTAAGGATGATGCTAAGGCCATAAAAAAGAAGAATAAGATTTCCTTTCAAAGCTATGTTAGGTGCATGTCTGCTATTGGTTCTCAGGTTGAAATTCTAACCAAAGCGAACAAAGATGTAGAGGATCGGTCCGTCCGAGAACACAATATCCACCTGCCACCGTGCGATACAGATGTGTTCAAGGGCGACTATCTCTCATGGCCAACTTTCCGAGATATGTTCACGGCCATCTACATCCTGAACAAGCGCCTCACCCCAGTTGAGAAACTAGTTCACCTCAACAATAAAACACAAGGGGAGGCAAAAGACATAGTGCGAAAGTGCCCACTTACCCATGAAGGCTTTTCGACAGCCTGGAAAAACCTGTGTGAGCGATACGAAAACAAACGTATCTTAGTTAACACACAATTAAAAGTTTTATTTAGCTTAAATACAGTGGAATCTGAGTGTGGTAGCTCAATTAAAAACCTACAGCGCGAGATTAATAATTGTTTATCGTCCCTAAAAAGTCATCAAATTGACATCTCTAATTGGGACGCAATTATTATATATTTGTGTTCAACGAAGCTTCCAGAAAGTACACTGGCCCTATGGGAACAGACCATAGACCAGAAAACTGACATTCCAAAGTGGGAGGATATGGACAGGTTCCTATCCAATAGATTCCAAACTTTGGAAACTCTAGCGGGGCTAAAGGGTACAACAACGGTGAAAGCTCCAAAGCACCAACCCGCACGGCACCACCAGGAAGCTAACACTAAAAGGCTAGGAGCCTTTCAGGCAAGCGTGAGCAAGTTCACCTGCCAAATGTGCCAAACTAATGAGCACAAGTTACGCAACTGTCCACAATTCCTCAACAAAACACCTGCTGATAGAATCGATTTTTTTGAAAAGCAAAAAATGGTGCCTGAACTGTCTTAGTACTGGACATACCGTGTCAAGATGCACAAACCCATTTAATTGTATAAAGTGCCACTCGCGACACAACACGCTCCTTCATATTGAGACAGCTCAAACAAAGGCAACGACACTTGGGACCTCTTTGGATTCTGCGACTAATTCTGCATCAACATCCAATCAGGCCCAAGCCAAACGCAATTCAACAAAGTCAAACAAGCATACAAGCAAAAACGTGAAGTCTTGCTATGCGAATACAAACACAGGTGTGTTATTAGGGACAGCACGCGTCAACATTTATCTCAATGGTACGAACTATTCCGCTAGAGCACTTATTGATTCTGGTTCAGAGTGTTCTTTCATTACTGAAAGACTAAAACGCAGAATTCACTTGCCGTCAAAGCGTATGCATGCCCAAGTTTCGGGCATCACTAATACAACTACGGCGCAGGTTAAAGAAGCGTGCAACATCGAATTGCGGTCTCCTGTTGACCCGTTGTTCCGCTTAAATACCTCTGTGCTCGTGCTAGCACAACTGACTGGAAATCTTCCTACTTGCCACATTAGTGCAGTGACTAAGCAAGCATTTCCAGATCTAATTCTAGCGGATAAACGATTTTTCGTCAATGAACCCGTAGACCTTGTTCTGGGTGGCGACATATATCCACAAATTATTCTGAGCGGGCTTAAGAAAAACATATTAAACACACTTCTGGCCCAAGAAACAGTATTTGGCTGGATAATAACAGGGCGAACTGATACCTCGAATCCAGGAACGAATATCGTCTCATACTACAGCGAAGTTAGTCTGGACAAGCAATTGAGTGCCTTTTGGGAGCTTGAGGAGATTCCAAAGAACAAGAGCCTTAATGAAGACGACAAGTACTGCGAGGAGCTGTATCAGAAGACAACCATACGAAATAATAAAGGAAAATACATCGTGTCACTACCATTTAGGAAAGATTTTCCAGGAAATGTTTCCCTAGGCCCATCCCTTAAAAGAGCATGTTCTCAATTTTACCGGAATGAGACACGGCTGGCCAAGGATCCCGTCCTGCAAAAGGAATACAATAGGGTTCTAGCGGAATATGAAACGCTTGGGCATATGTCGAAAATAACAAATCCCATACCCGCAGACTCGTCTGATAATTATTTTCTACCGCACCACGCTGTTATAAAGGCAGAAAGTACTTCAACGAAAGTACGCGTGGTGTTCAATGCCTCAAGCCCAACGGCGAATGGCAACAGCCTAAATGACGTACTTTTCCCAGGACCAGTACTTCAGGCAGATCTTCCGATACTAATACTCCGTTGGAGACTATACAAATATGTGTTCAACAGTGACATCGAGAAGATGTATAGGCAAATTCTGGTACATAACAACCATACTAAGTATCAGAGGATTATTTTTCGCACTAACCCGAATGACCCGATCAGTCTGTACGAATTAAAGACTGTCACGTTCGGCATCAATTGTGCTCCTTATCTGGCTATAAGGACACTTTTACAATTAGCTGACGATGTGCAAAGCTCCCATCCAATAGCCTCTAACATACTACGAAAATGCATGTATGTCGACGATGTATTGTCTGGTGGACACACTATCGATTCAGCAATAAAAGCCAGAGATGAGATATCGGAAGTGTTGCAATCAGCCGGTTTTCCACTTCGAAAGTGGACAGCCAATAGCGAGCAAATACTTAATGGCATACCAAAAACAGATCTACTTAGCGAAGATTTTTTGGCATTTGAAGATACCAGCGCAGTCAAGGCTCTTGGAATAAGATGGAATGCCCATACGGATCTTTTCTATTTTATAGCAAGGCCATTGGAGAAAAGCGATGCTGTTACGAAAAGAGCGATACTATCTGCCATTGCTAAACTCTTCGATCCGCTGGGGTGGCTTGCGCCTATCATAATCGTAGCCAAAATCCTTATGCAAAATATTTGGCTGGAAGGCACAGATTGGGATGAGACTGTGTCTTCGACCACTCTAGACCGATGGCAGAACTTTACCCAACATTATAACGAAATTGATAAGGTTCGTATACCGCGATGGGTATACTTTTCTCCAACGGATGAAATACAAGTACATGGATTCTGTGACGCATCGGAGAAAGCATATGCCGCCTCTGTGTATATGCGTGTCAAAAGAGATAGCAAAGTTTTTATTAACCTGCTTTTGGCAAAAACCAGAGTTGCTCCTGTTAAAACCATATCGCTACCCCGACTGGAACTTTGCGGAGCGGTACTATTGGCGGAAATAGTTGATTCAATAATCAACAATCTCAACTTAGGGCATATCAACATACATCTGTGGACCGATTCCACAATTGTTCTCGCTTGGATTCGTAAGCCTCCGTGTTCATGGTCAACTTTCGTTGCCCATAGAATCACAAAAATTGTAGAGAAAGTCGGAAACAAGAATTGGCTGCATGTGGATTCGGCATCAAATCCAGCAGACTTAGCGAGCAGAGGACTTCCAGCATATGAATTGGTCAACAATTCGTTGTGGTGGCAGGGACCTTCTTGGTTACAAGAAGATAACCCAAAATGGCCCACCCAGGAAACAGACTACAGCACAGTAGTTGAGGAAAAAAGAACGCACGTTTATACAACCAAAGTAAATTATACCGATATTCTTGACCGTTTTTCAGATTTTCCGAGAGCTTTGAGAGTATTATCATATGTTATGAGATTCTCTCAAAGAACGCATCGAAATACAAAAGCTTCATTTCAAGAAAAGTCACGCTTAATTTCATCCCATGAAATTAAAGCAACGACACAACGCTTGATAAAAATATATCAACAGAACTATTACAGTGAAGAATACAGGAAACTTAAAGCAGGAAACTCCATCGACTCCAAGAGTGAACTCCTACCGCTTAATCCGTTCATAGATAAAGATGGCATTATTAGGGCTGGTGGGCGTCTTGGAGCGTCTCAAGACTTAGCGTATAACGAGCGGCATCCAATAATTATTCCTTATAACTGCAGGTTGTCCCGTCTGATAGTGTCCTTTATTCACCAAGTCTCTTTGCATGGGGAAAATCAACTCATGCTTCGCCTTATCCGAACTCAGTATTGGATCCCCAGAGTTAAAAATCTGATCAAATCCACAATCCATAACTGCAAAGTCTGTACGATATACAAAAAACGTACGCGAACCCAGCTTATGGGAATTCTCCCTCAGGAGAGAACCACATTTTCGCGCGCGTTTACGAATACAGGTGTAGATTTTTCAGGACCCTTTGACATCAAAAGTTATAGCGGCCGAGGTTGTCGAATGTCCAAAGGATACGTTTGCCTTTTTGTCTGTTTTACGACAAAAGCGATCCATTTGGAAGCAACTAGTGACCTCAGCACTCCATCATTTTTAGCTGCATTCGCCAGGTTTTTAGCCAGAAGAGGATGCCCGAAGAACATATATTCCGACAATGGTACAAACTTCGTCGGAGCTTCACGATCTTTACGATCTGAATTTAAGGCATTTTTAGCAGATTCGCGTGAAAAAGCAGTTTCGAAATACAATTATCAAATGCTCACATGGCATTTCATACCCGCCGCTGCTCCTCATATGGGCGGCTTATGGGAGGCGGGGGTAAAAAGCTTTAAAAGCCACTTTAAAAAGATTGCATCCGTTCATAAGTATACGTTCGAAGAGTTCAGTACTCTTTTATGTCGGATTGAGGCGTGCCTCAACTCACGACCATTGAGCCCCGCTTCGAATGAACCTACCGACCTGGAGCCTCTCACTCCAGGTCACTTTCTTACTGGTGGACACCTGCTAGCCCCACCTGAAATCGACGTTCACGAGAATCCTGCCTCGATAGTAAATCGGTGGCAGAAGCTAAAGGCCCTTCACCAAACTTTTTGTAAACGATGGAAAACCGAATATTTATCCGAACTGCAAAAGCGGATTAAGTGGAAATATCCACAGCAAAATATAAAATTAGGAGATCTCGTTGTCATCAAGGAAGACAACCTCCCGTCAAATGAGTGGAGATTAGGTCGAATTATCAGCCTACATCCTGGTCCCGACGATCGAGTACGCGTAGTTGACATCATCACGGAAAAAGGGCAGATTACGAGACCGCTGGCCAAACTGGTCCTGCTTCCATCCCAAAATCAAGAAACCGAGGAGCCAGCAAGCACTTCGTAAATAAACCCTCTCCGTTGATCCCCAATCCCGCGTGAATTCCACTTCCTCATCGCACAAAAATTCCACTTCTATGCATTCGGAAGGATTCAACGCCTATAATCAAGTTTAACCCAGAGCAATATTAAAGGTAGTCGTGTTTTTATTTAGATTTTTGGTGATGGTTCTTAGCCCGGCCTCTCCGGGTAGATCTGGGTATAAAGAACCGACCATCGTTAGATCTTGTAAGCATAGAATCGGGTAAAAATAAGACAGACCCAGCGTGATGAATCGGGTAAAAATAAGACAGACCAAGCTTGATGAACAATTGTTTCAGAAATACGAAATTGGTAACGAGGTGCGAATTATCAATTAAAATCCTCCAAAAAATATAATAATAAGCGAAATAAGTTGAAAGTCGTTACAATTGTTCATTATGCTTGCTCGTTTTTCAACACAACTAGGTCTGTTGGGAAGCGAATACATTTTACTTGACAGGTTTCGATAATCGTCAGTCAACCCATTAGACCAAATGAGTTCGCCTCAATTGTCAAAACCTACCAGCAAAGACTATAGTTCAAAAAAAAAAAAAAAATATCTATACATACATATGCATATATTTTAAAGGGATATGTCTAACTCACCCATTTTTCCGGCATTAGTTCCGTTATGTGCGCCAGTTCCGCTCGTAGGTATTAGTCCTTTGTGTATTAGTAAACTTGCAGTTTCCACCTCCACCAATATGAGAATTATTGTTGTTATAATCATTAGTGCAGTGGCAGCTGCATAATTTTGGTTGTCTTCTTTATCGGCATCACCTGCGGTTATTCCTGGTTCATAATCCGATGACTTACCATTGTGCGATATGGGTGTACAATGGTTACGATCTTGAGCGATTTGGCCATTGAGTTGGAAGCGATAATTGTAATGACGGGTTAGACGCACCGAGCTATACTTTTGCATATGACGCTGAAAGCGATATGGCAATTGGTTTATATTTTCGGGGATAGATATTGTTCAATTTTGAGTGAGTCACATCTTATAAACAACATTAATTAGAATAATGTACAGCGCACCCCCAACTTAAAACAGTAAAGTGCCCATGCCACCCATCTCCGATTGCTCCTTAACGAAGATTTCGAAGTACTGATAGATGATGGTTACAGCCAGCAGAATACCTGTACCTGAATCAACGGCACCCAAAAAGTCAGCCATAACAGATAACGCGCCAATGCAGCCACCACCAACATCAAGCCCAAGTATCCAACAAATGTGACAACGAATACAATCTTGGCAATTTTGCAATTCGTGCTTTAAATGCAGCCTGCACAGCTTTTAAAAACGGAGTGGTACCATATTCTTGCTGAGCCAATGCACAAGATGGCGATACTGACGGGTATTCCTCTGGAATAGTTACAGTAATTGGTGGTCCGCATGGTAAACGTTTGTCATCGAGACAACAAATCACTTTTATAGATTTTGGATTATTTTGAGCTGTGCTGTCAAGCATAAGTTTAAACTTTTGATCTAATCGTGCTACTTCGCCTTGAAGTAGATGAGGAACTTCGCATTCGTATTGAGACGATTTCTCACACGTACGACATATTTCGCAGTATTTTAATACAAGGGAAACGTTATGGACCACTAGACTTTGCAGCGGCAATTGCTATGTGCATTGGTTTAGCTTGGTTTACGCTCGCTGACTCGCAATTATCACCGAATTCTAATGTTACTGGAGTGGCATATATTTAAATGTTTATAGTAAAAAAAAACAAAGATGACTATGCGAGACTTTGAACACAAGTTGAAGTACGCACATAACGCCTTCCGTATTTGGGAAAGATCGACCAGTCGCAAATTCTTGGTGGAGGTTTGAATATGTCGTACGGTTTTCTCATATACATACATACGTACATAAATACTTGGCAAGTGTGTCAAGTTTAAGTATGTTTTAACTACTGATTATCCAATAATAATAATATTTTTTATTATAACGACTCATTTAGGTATCATTCACGATGATGGCATACTCTACGGTGTGGTTAAAGTTACTGGAACAATACAATTAATACATTAAATAAGTAATATGAGACGCATACTTTTAAACAATGTTACGCAGATTCTTATTGCCCTGGGCCTGACAAAGATTTCTCCATGAACTTTTTCTTGGCAAAACAAATCCACCACTTATTTGGCTTGCCGTCGTCAGTGCTGAAAACTTTTTCACAAACCCGATTTCCTATTTCATGGCGCATTTGTAAAAAATACTGACGCATCAAATCAGCCTCTTGTGCATTCTGTGGTCGAGCATAAACTGCGTTTAATGGAAACCCAGAATCACCTGGTATATCAAACTTTGAAATGGCCAAGCTGTACATTTATTGAGCACCTTGGTTTTTGTTGTTGCAACGTTGCAAGCGCTTCAAACATTCAGTTATATAGAGTGTAATATAAATAAGCACACGATCTACTTCCGACTTTATCTCATAAGTTCGAAAGAAAACATTTGCCTTAAAGTAATACAGTGACTCATCAATGATATCAGATTCTACGTTGACACTAGGAGCAGGCCCACGAGCTTGAGTGCGTAGGGGCAAAAGTGCCATGTTTCCAACCACTTGAGGAAATTCCTTAATCTGAGAATGGTACGCCGGCATGATTTTTGATATTGCAGCAAATAACTTAATTTGTATTTAAAAATTAATAATAAAAAACTTTGCCTTGTCCTATTGACGTCGTCGAAGCCAAACCAAATTTCGATACCAAATTTAGTGTAGATATATGTAATAAGCAATTAGATTTGGAATCAATAGCTCGTTAGACATATTCTTTGTATCTGTGTAACTTAAACAATAGCTACACCTTCAACCCTCCTTCTCCAACAAATAATTTTCCTGTTAATTTAAAATGACCCCTTCACTGCTGTTAATTATAAAAATATACATACCTAGTTGCCGGATAGTGGTAATGGCCAGAATAAAATTAAAACATAGTGCCACCCAGATTTAGATTACCTTTGAAGAATAAAAGTTGTCATTGTAGCTCATTTTTGTTATAAAATCTACTATAAACATACGGCCCAATGCATCCAGGCAATGTTGTTGGTGGACCACAAGGTCAACAGGGTGGTGCAATGCCCCAAAATGCTGGCCAGCAAAGTGGTATCAGCCAAATGATAGGTATTTCCCAGAATATGCAACAGAAGGTAAATATGCCAATAGGTCAGGGTGGCCAGATGTGTCAGGTTAATCGTGGTGTTCCGGGTCAGTTAGCAGCAGTTCTTACGGCAAAGTCCTTCACCAAGTACTGTGCCATCTGCCACTGGTATGTAGGCTGCACAAAATCAACAGCAACAACAGCAGACTCAAATGTCTGATGCGCAGATGATTCCAAGCCCTGCATTAGTACCCACATCCAGTCCACAAATGTCAAACCTCATGCAGAGTACACAAAGGCAGATGCGTCAATCACCAAGTACGCAGCTTAACACGCCTGGTCAGGTGGCAAGCAGTAGTCCTTTTAATCCGCAAGAAGATCATTTGTATAGCGAAAAATACAAACGGCTGACAAAGTATATTGATCCACTTAAGCGGATGGTGGCCAAAATTGGTACTGATGGAGCGAATACTGAAAAACATATAAAAATGAGCAAATTACTGGAGATCTGGAGTAATCCAAACCAGCGTGTACCTTTAGAAACTCTGTTGAAATGCGAGAAGGCACTAGAAAAACTAGATATCGTTAATTTCTCTGGGCAACAATTCGGAAAATCATCTAACCCATTGATGGAAGTGGTAAATACTACGCTCCAAAGTCCACTTGCCAATCACACGCTTTATCAAACATATCGTCCTAGTTTGGAGTTACTCTTCGGTACTGATATTTGCGCTCCTGCACCAGCATTTGTACCCATAGGACCAGCAGCGTTCAAACGTGCGTTCATCATTTGATTTAATTGCTGATGGTTCATGCTGATTTGCGCCATTTGCTGTTGACCCATTTGTTGAATCTGCTGTAAATTCATAGCATTCACGTTCATTGGCCACCAGGACGGCTAATTTGATTCATGTGATCTGAAAATCGAAAAAGATTAATAAGTACAAAAGCCTGCAATTTCGCATGCATACTCACCCAACCGTTCCAGCAAACTTACGTAATGGCCGCGTGGTAGTAAAATTTTAGACAATGACATTTATGCATTGTATGTATGTATGTATGTGATTACGTTCCACATCAGGAATAAACCTAGCGCCGTTCTCCATTCATATTGGAGAATAGCTATGTTTCTTTACGGACAATTAACACTAACCCTAACTAGCTGCTGCTAGTTTTGCATGGTGACCGTTCGTAGACAATAAATTTAATTGCTGTTGTCATACAATTGGGGATTTTAAATGTAAAACCAATGCAAAGTCACTGGGTACCACAAAATGTTAATTGGTTATTAAATGTAAAACCAATGCAAAGTCACTGGGTACCACAAAATGTTAATTGGTTATTTTAAATGTAAAACCAAAGCAAAGTCACAAAATGTTAATTGGTTATTTTACATGGGAAACCAATCCAAAGTCACTACGTACCACAAAAATGTTAAGATACTTTGCTTGCTAAAGTATTTCTTAGGCGGCACCTTGTTTTTTAACAGCAAGGCGCCCAATGATATGCAAGCTTATGCCGGTGGGAAGTGGGATTGTTGAGTGCCGATGTAAACCAAGATACATAAGTCTCCAAATGTCGATAAGCAGGTTCACGTCACATACTCAAGTACACACACACATATGTTAAAACCTGCTATTGACAAAATATGCGGATGAAAGCACAAATGAAAAATAATAAAAATAAATAAATGCTACCACACTCATACGCACAAGCATTTTTTTCGGTATAATTTAATGCAAGTAAAATTCTACGTTGCCCATACATCCCTGCACAGTAGAATGCATGGCATCCATGCAATCCATCATCCAAAATTTTGTAGGTCGTGAGTTAACATTATGCTACATTCACACTAGGTGGTTCTTTGATTAGAAAAATAATGTATATAATGCCAAGTTCACACCCACCGAATTATGCGCTTGCACTCATCAAAATGTTGCGCCTTTCATACCACTCGCCACCCAACAATACATATATACGTTATAATATCCACTGCAACGATATCTGACCCTATTTCAGCCGTAACGATGTCTCATATCGCCACTATGAGGAAACGAGCCGAACAACGCGCCCACCGCTATCCGCTACCGTGCCGCCTATGCGACGCACACCACCCGATTAGGCTCTGCCCTATTTATCGGGCAAAATCGCCCGAGGAGAGACTGCGCGAAGCTCTACTGGGCCGCTATTGCGCAAACTGCCTTGCCATGACCCACCAGCTGAGGCAGTGTCAAAGCGAGGGAAGATGCCGTAGGTGCGGCGAGAAACACCACTCCACTCTGCATTTAGAGGAGGGCCAACGCGCCAACGAAAATGTGAGTCATGGAGGGCACGAGGCAATGAAGGCGACTCAGAGGAACCAGTCCCCAAACCATGGAGTGTGCAAGTGGAAGAAGCCGAGGCAAACGGCACTCTGTCACTATACGCGTCCGACTCGGGAACCGAGACTAGGCCTCCCGGTCCAGAGATTGAAGAAGGGGAAGTTATTGAGCGCGGAGCGGGGACTCGGCCTCTCCGCCCGCTTACTAACGGGGGACCGGAAACACGGTCTTTCCGGCCTCTGCTGCGGCATGAACGCAGAAGTACGGCTG